TTGCCGTTCGCATGATGCAGAGGCCCCCGTAGGAAAATGTTTAAATGTGCTTGTCATGCATGCACATCAGTTACATGATATTATGGGAGGAGTGGAGTTAAGTATTACAGAGGGAGCTTTTGGGGTTTGTCACCCTTCCTATGCATCTAGGTCAGGGGTAGGCAACCTTCGGCACTCCAGATGTTGTGCACTACATCCCCCATAATGCTCTTATACTCAAAGCTGGCAAAGCATCATGGGAGGTGTAGTGCAGAACATCTGAAGTGCTGAAGGTTGCCTATTCCTGCTCTTGATTGAAAGTTCCCACGGGAGTAGGGTGTGTGGGTTTTTTTTTTTTTTTTTTATTGTCTTTTCGTTCTATTGTCTTTTTTGCATATATCCATGGACGGCGCATGCAGAATGTGATGGCGCTTTATAAATAAAGTATAATAATTGTGCCTTGTCCCTCACCAAAAGGTGATGTTTGCATTAATTTGGTGTTTTTTTTTAATGTGTTTTTTTTTTTTTTCAGGCTGATTTGACTAAGTCTGTGCCTCGTAAACATGTTTGCAGTTTATCATCACCACCACCACCAAGATATGCTTGTTTCCCCATCGTAGTGCCATGCTTTCCGAATATAAGGTTTGCAAGCATCAGTGCAACACCCCTTCCAAATTTAAGGTACTCATCTTGCTAATAAAGCAGACTAAACTCACCCACTAAGCCTGGGGACCCATTTTTAATTAAGACACCATCTGTTTCTGCTCTTTGCCTCTAGCACTGATGTTTTTTGGTTTGTTTCTGATTTTTCTTTAAAAAAAAAAAATAATAAAGTGCCTAGGCTAAGTCCATAGCCCTAACGCCTCTGAGCAGGGCACATAACGTTATTCACTAGCTCCCTCCGAGATACTACACGTTTCTAGCACGAGGGAGTAAAGCAGAGATCACCTTATAAAAATCGGGTGGCATAGCACCTGTGAAACTATATGTTGATTACCTGGAATGTATTTAATACATGTTATCCTTTATGCACATGTTGTTGTAAAATGAATTTAATACTTGCATACCCACAAAAATAAAGAATAAAAAAAAAAAAAAAAATCTCCTTTTTAATCTGGCTAAGCAGCGCTGTTTAGTCAGACTTTACTGTTTTATGACCATTTGCTGCTTAAACTGACTTGCCTGCTGCTGCAGTTTTACACAAAGCAATCACAGCAGCAGGAAAGATAATAGAGCCAACATGGCTGCTTAACCAGATATAAAAAAAAACCAAACCTCTCCCTCTCCTTTTCCCTTTGAGATTTTAAACAAACTTATTCCAGATTAATATACTCTTGCTGATCTGAAGTATGTGCTTCTGTTTTTCCATATGTAGCTTTGCTGATGGAGACGAAGTGTGGAGAAATATGGTGGAACAAGATCGCGACTACCCGAGGTCCAGCAACTGGCTAAAAAAACACCCGGAGTTGGACTCGCGTATGAGAGCAGTTTTATTGGACTGGCTCATGGAGGTAAATATAAAACACAATGTCAAGCTTTTTATTTAAGGAACGTTTGTAGGAAGAGACCAATGACTTGTTACAGATTTGCACTAATCATTCCACACTGTGTCCCATGACGGCAGTGCCTGATAATCTAATCCACAACAGCGGAAACTCCAAAGGTTCTATGTGGCTGCCTTCTCCTTAATCTGGCCATGTCTAGGCTTCAGACTTCAAGGCAATCATGGAGAATATTCTTTTTAGTGAATGTCATGGTTTATGCACTTATAATGTGATTTTTCTCATTAAAATCTGCTACTGTCTTTGCATGAACCGTATGATCTCATGAGCTTTCTGCAATTTTTCTTTTAGGTTTGTGAACTCCACAATCTGCACAGAGAGACCTACTACTTGGCTCAGGAGTATTTTGACAGGTTCATGGCAACGCAGGAAAATGTACACCGAAATAGACTGCAGCTTATTGGCATCAGCTGTCTGTTCCTAGCGGCAAAACGCGAGGTAGATAGAAGCCTGCTTTCTTTATCCCTTTTCTCCCAAACACCATAGATTGATTGTTTGGTTCAGCTCTAACGTGTATTGGTAACCTTTCTGAAGGGACTGTAGTGTTTCCACACCCTTTCTTCCCCATCAACCTGTTAATGATGGTGCGAGTGTCTCTTTAACGAGCTGGGTTCCATAACCTTGACAGAAGGGCAAGTATAGGTCCTCACAAGAGATCCCAGGAAAACTGAAACTTTGGGGAATTGACATCCCAGAATGCCATACTTTGTCGAGCAGAATTTTCACTTCCTATTGGCTAGTCATGGGGACTATTCTAAATCGTTATGATGTGAGCTGGATAGAAACACTGTTTCCTCTTTTTAACCTTCTATGTGTCAAATTTGATTTCAGGAAATCTACCCACCTAAACTGTATCAGTTTGCGTTCATTACGGATCGAGCTTGTACGAGAAAAGAGATTCGCAACATGGAGTTGATCATATTAAAGGTAACTGTTTGGTTTATGTTCTAGATATCTATTTGTGATTAATAACCGCTGGTCTAGAGGTACAGTTAAATGGGATACAAATATACCAGAATCTATAGATTACATCCACAGTGTGAATTAAACCAAGAGTGTCATGCTGCAGTGCTCAGATATCCGAATACATCTCCAATAACCTTCTTTATACTGTTAGCTGGCTGAGAACTGGTAGTGCCATCGACTGGTTTGATAAGCTTGTTTTTTCTAAATGTAATGCTTCGCACACAGAACTCAAGTGTCTCTTATCCCACTCCTCTCCCTCTTGTTGGTTTCTTAAACACATTATGTATTTTATTTCTTTGTATTAATAAAACACCCCCTCCCCACCCCAGTTGTATGTTTTACCAGGGGCCCAAAAGGTAGATCCACAGCTGTTGTTGTAGAACTACAACTCACATGAAGCTTTGCATGCCTTTAGAATGACAAAGCATAATGGAAGCTGTAGTTTTAAAACCTCTAGGGATCTACCTGGGCACCTCTGGTTTATACTGTTGCACTTGCTATAATACCTGAAGTGTCCCTCATTTTGACCTACAGGGAAGCACAGCAATGCTTCCACAAAACAGGAAGCCATTCCCCTGCCCCACACCACTGTGCTGGTTCCATATATTCTCCTGGTAAAGAACATTGTGCTAGTCTTGCACACAAAGGATTCATTTAGCAGCTTTATATGAGCATGCATCAGGTGTTCTAATTACAGGTACAACTTAATCGAACACTGCCTTGCCCACCATTGGTACCCATTCTCCCAGTCTTGCAAATATCAAATGTAAGTGCTTCTCGTATCCATTTGTAGCTGCTCTGTAGATCATTTGCTGTTAAATGAATGCTTGCTGTATCATTTAGCGAGAAGACCGGTTAAACACAGTGGTGTGATCTGGGAGGAAGTCTTGAAAATTGTAGTAAACCCTTTATAATCTAGAACTTGTAATCTATGTACACAAAGGACAAAACCAGAAGTCTCTTGTTATAAAACAGAGAAGGAAAAAAAGTTCAAGTTTAACGTTTTTTGATTTATCATTTGCTTAATCTCTACCATCTGATCTAACCAGGCACTTTGCTGGCGTTTAAATCCATTGACTGTAATTTCTTGGCTGAATGTCTACATGCAACTTGCGAATCAGTCTCCACCGGAGGAATTTCTCACGCCAAAATATCCGTGGTCTATGTACACACAAATAACAGAGGTAAGTTCTTTAATATGCATCAAAATGTAACGTTTTCTAGTTTTACTTCCCTATATCTTAGTGGTGAGATAATAGTGGGTTCACTGTGTTTATATATAGAACAGTGTAACCATAAGCTCACACTATTAAAGTTCTACACCTCTAAACACCGTCTGCTGTAGTTTGAAGCATTTCTCCTGTGACAGCCCCAATATGTTAATCATTTGTTTTTCTGTTTAGCAAAATCTGGATGAAAAAGTATTTAATATTGTGTTTTTTTTCTTGTTTCCAGCTTTTAGATATCTGTGTTCTCGATATTGACAGCTTGCAATATCCTCGCCGTACTCTTGCTGCCGCGGCATTGTATCACTTTTCTGATTTGCAATTGGTGGAGAAAGTTTCAGGTATGTGACCAAATGTTTACGTGTTAACAAATTAAGTCCACCTGCCTAAGAAGTATTGTCATTTTGTGTGCTTCAGTAGGGATTTAGGGGTTTATACACCAAGTTTAAAGTGAATTGATCACTGGATTTTAAAGAAACTTTAGTCGTGACAACAATTGAACTGGATCAATATTTATTTTACAATTTGTACTTGTTGCCTACAATTTGAGCTTTGGTTTTGATGATCTGTATTAAAGGAACACTATTTTGGGCTTTTTATAAATTTTTGAATTGCATCATGCTGTGTGCGATGCCTCCGAATGTTTGAGACCTTTAGAAATCGAAGGAATTCAATAAGGAAGTAGTGTAGACGCCATATAAACAGTGTTGTTTCTCAGGAACTGCATTGTTTTTAAAGGGACAGAGTCTATGGACCAAAACAACTAGATGGTCAGATGAGGTGGTTTTTGGTGCTTCATGTCCCTTTTTAATTGACTTGCATCTATCCACCTACTGGACTAACTCCTCTCTTTGTGAGACTTGTATAGATATTTTTCTTCCTTCGGAGCTGTGTGTATGCGAGTATAAAAATGTTGCTTATTTAAATACTAATCCTTTTTTTGTATTTTTTGTATTTTTTTTATTTTAAGGTCTTAGTAGCATAGAGTTGTCGAACTGCATTACATGGGTAGTACCCTTTGCAATGACAATAAAGGCAACTGGGATCTCAACACTAAAGCCGTTGAAAGAAGTCTCCATTGATGACTTGCACAACAAACAGACTCACATGAACGCCTTGCGGAAGATGGTAAGATTTTTGTCCTGATGTTTGGTTAGACACAGGCTGGGGAACCCCTAGTAGTATGACCTAGATTAGGGTGACCGTACGTTATTCAAAAACTGAGTTCTAAAAAGCACAGATTTTATTGCCCTCGGGTAGATAAAAATCTTGGATTGATGTAAAGGTTCTTTAACAATAATTTGAAATCTAGTGCTTGAAGTGAAATGCTGGGCTGTGCAAAGCTTTCACACTGATCAAACTTTCATGATGTTACCTTGGCAATATATGATGTTAACTTGTGTGGACAATCCAACATTGTCAAGCATAGCTGTCTTATTAGTAGACCATGTTCTAATGACATTGCAAATCTATAAAAGTGGATGACCACGCATCTAGAGACTGTTTCCAATTAATCATTCCTGTGTCTGTTGTATTTAGCTTCCATTTGGGAATGCCATAAAATTGTTTAAACTATAATTTATATTCTTAAATAAAAAGAAAATAATAATTTAATAAGTAAACAATTATGTTCAGAAAGAGGATCTAACTCTTAATTTGTTCTAAATAAATGAACGCGTCCTTGTTTAAATTGTGTTACCGTTAAAATCTACAATTTGTTTTTATTTTATTTTTTTTTTCCAGGAACAATCTCACAAGTATAAGGCAGACTTGGAAATGCAGGAAACGGCTCAATTCAGGGCATCTCTGAATTTTTTTACAGTATTTTGGGATCCGCAAATTCCTCATTACGGAGGTTTACTGGTGGGGCAGGCTCCATCTTCAGATGTGAGCTTTGAGGAGAACACCAGCATAGATTTGCTCTCCGATTCCAATCCAGCACTTCCACAAAGTGAAATGAAGCCTCATGACGTATCCATAGAAAACTGAAATCCTTGTATTTCTGCACTTTATCATTATGTTTTTATATGTGACTTATGTGGTTTTTTTTTTTTTATTTTTTTTTGGAGTGGACTTGCCCGTTTTGTCAAAGAACTTTTTCTTTTCAAGGGACGTTCCTTGCTTCAAAGGGCACTTTATGTTTAGTAAACTGTGTGCTGTGCACATTGTTTTGGTCTGGTTGCTGCTATATAATATTTGACTAAATCTAGCTGCTCTACCAATGTATGGGCTCAATGCTAAACACTGAACTCACAAACTTTGCTACAAAGAAAAGTGCAATTCTCTATTCTAGTATGTTTTATGAACTGATGCATATGTTATGCTTTTTTAAATATAAATATTTTAAGACTTTTTTTTATTTTTATTTTTTAATCTGCTAAATATGTATTTTTCAATAAAGAAGCAGTGTTTTTTTTAAAGAAAACTGTGTGTATGTCTCAAATTGTATATTGAGCCTGGTAACAAGAATCCAGCTATATTCAGTACTAATAGATACACATGCCGTGCTGACTTGGTCTAGGCCTGCCTAATTTAAAAGGTTTTACTTTGAAAAGTAAATTGGCCATGCATAAATCACAATGTGAAACCTTTTTATAGAGCACCAAAATTCACATATATTTGCTAGTAAATTTGTTATGCTCCTTAATATAGTTTACATTTTTCCCCCTTAAGTCAAATGGGCATGTTACATAGTGATTGCAAGCGACTCTGTACATTCCACAAAGACAAGGGTACGGCAGTGGCATCTTTATATTAATCTCTGGCTGTGATATCCTCCACTAGACTATTACTGTGACTGGTGCAATAGAATAAAAAGCCAATAAGTGTGATCTGCAAGTTCAGCCAATTGTATTGACTTAGAATTTGGAATTAACGTTCTAATTTTGATAACTCTGATATAACCATGTTCGCAGTTGTATTTGAGGGGAGGGGGGCGGCAGTGCCAAATATTGGGATGAGAAGAGCAGCCTTCGGCGAGGCTATTGCATTTGGTGTTTGTTGTTCAGGTGTGAGTGGGACCAATTAAATACTTCTTGCTTATTTAACCCCTTAAGGACACATGACGTGTGACACGTCATGATTCCCTTTTATTCCAGAAGTTTGGTCCTTAAGGGGTTAAATACAAAAAACTTCTCTGGTTTTCCTGATTCTCGCATAGTTTAATCTTATTTATGTTTTCTAGATTGTTTTGGTGCAGGACATGTGGCCTACCCATGCTTCATGCAATTAAACTACCCCCCATTAACTTTGAAACTTGCTAATTAATGAAGATGCTGCAAGACAAAAATTGCCTCTTCTCAGGCTGTTACAGATTGCGTTAATTATCAAGTCCCATAAATATGTTTGGCTCAACTCCTGCCGCTAGACTTGCGTTGTGCATTTTAACTGCAAAGGTTAAGTGAGAGTGGGCTGTACATACTTGTGGCTTCAGCTGAATGATACCTTAAAGAAATTAATTGGATGGCTTCCTGTTTGTTTGTTTGTTTTTTTTTTTTTTCAGGAGACTATTTAAAGAAGCTGCTTACGTAGATGTGCCAATTTAATTTTACCCTTTCTCCGAAGGGTTAACTAGTGAACAGATGCCTTGGAAAGGCTGACTTGAACATTCCATGCACAACAGCCACAGTTTTCAGAGAGAGATCACGTGAGCCATCTGCATGACATATTGTTGAAGGTTTAGTTGCTCAATGTGTTTCCTCAGGACAATTAATCATTTTAATACAAAGCCTGCACTACATTATGCATCACTGGCAGAAACCTCTCCATCAGATACACCGTCATCTTTAATGTCTGTTAATTCAAACGATGCATCATGACAAGAATTGAGATTATAGGTAAATTGTGGAAGGCTAAATATTCCCAAAATAAGTAAGAGTCATCATGGGTATTTATATAATCATTTCCATAGATGTCTGACACTGTGTGGGTTGTTTTGAAGGCTGCCAGATGCAATTCTCCTTTGCACCTTCTAATTTCTGTTAAATGGGATCCTTCAGCTCTCAGTATCCTTGCCTGATTCCCAGAGACCCATTCCTTCACTACGTAGAAGTTCTGCCCTGCAGTAAATAGAATTCCAGTGCAACAATGAATTAAATTGATTCATTAATTAGGACGGGTATACAATAATAAGGACTGTCATATTCATCATATTTCCTAGATATTAAGGGTATATGCCGCAGCAAGGAGCACAGTACCGTAATCAAGGCAGTCCCTTTACAATTCAACATAAATGTCCTTATTTTGCAGTATATGAATACTACATTCTGCAATAAAAATAATTGTCCGGGAGCCATGGTGAATCTGTTAGTGTATATTGTTTAGCATATCGGAGTTTAAAGTACATTTTTAAATTTGGTTATCTCCTAGAACAGAGCCAGCTCACTAAGCTAACTAGTGTTCACTTTGTATCTTTTATAGGTTATTCATTCTATAACTTCTACTATGGGGGCTCTCTAATCACTATGATCACTACAGCATACCTGTAGCGGCTCTGTCACCATCTAGGGTCTTTGCACACACACAGTGACTGCACTGCTGGGAAGGAAAGGTAATTTATACTTGCCTGTACCTGTCTGTTGCGGCTACCTCCATGCTTTTCCTGCCAGTCCTCTTTAGCTACTGGCACTTCAGCAGTCAGGAGCCCACGAGAGTACGACACTGAGGTGGTCTCTGAAGGATGCAGTGAGACCACGGGATCCTCCATAGACGGAACCTTTTTTGTCCCATTAGCCATCACCAGTGACAGCATAAAGGACCATTATAGGTACCTAGACCACTTCAGCTTAATTAAGTGGTCTGGGTGCCTGGTCCAGCTAGGTTTAACCCTTTTTTCTATAAACATAGCAGTTTCAGGGAAACTGCTATGTTTATATTAGGGTTAATCCAGCCTCTAGTGGCTGTTTCATTGACAGCCGCTAGAGGCGCTTGCGTGCTTCTCACTGTGAAAATCACAGTGAGAAGACGCCAGCGTCCATAGGAAAGCATTGTGAATGCTTTCCTATGAGACTGGCTGAATGCGCGCGTGGCTCTTGTTGCGCATGCGCATTCAGCCGAGGAGAGGAGGAGGAGTACCCCGCCCGGCGCTGGAGAAAGAGGTAAGTTTAACCCCTTCCTCTCCCTAGAGCCCGGCAGGAGGGGGACCCTGAGGGTGGGGGCACCCTCAGGGCACTATAGTGCCAGGAAACTCTGTAGTGTTCCTTTAAGGCTTTACAAAAGGTAGTTCTGCCTTTTTGTCAAGCTTAAGAAAAATACTAAAACAAATATGAGTATTTCATAAAGACGTAATTTGTGTGTGAATATGGGGGAAGGGAGCAGTGCCACTTTAAGACTGGGAATATGCCATGAGACAGATTTCCATTCTTTTCAAATACTTTGTCTATTAGCTTGGTGCCCACGGCAAATTACAGATATTGCTAGAGTGTTGCATTAGCCTGTGTTTACACATAATTAATTAGCTGAGAGTGTCAGCAGACAAAAACTGATATTTTCTAATGTGGAAAGGGAACGTTTAATTTAGCAATATTTGATATAAGAGGGGCCATGTTTTGGGCAGGAGGAGAGTCGCCCTTACAACCCACAAATACCAACCACTCTGAGGGATTGGTTAATACATTCACAGTTTTATTGAATATTATGAAATTCTATAATTTCTACTAAAATGCAGAAACATTTTAAGTCATTGCCCGTCCCCACCAAACCATGTATCAACAATACATATCCCATACATCATAAACAATAAGGCAATGACCCATATTGTAAATATAACAATATAACGATGTAACGACATATAGATATACATATACAATTCAACATAAATATACACCAATCAAATTTAACATAACTTAATGCCTCCTGGTAAGGGTATACCCAGATACCCCTACCCCACCAAGGTTCTGAGCCACCGACTGGCTCAAACCCAACAACATTATAACCCACCAACTTGAACCACTGCGCCAAACGTCCTTAATTCCTCTGTAACTCCACCAGGGGCCCTTTCTCCCCCCCTCCCCCCCACCTATCCTTCCCCTAACTAACCCTGCAGCTGGGACTAAATGGGGCCAACCAAGGAATCTACCCAAGGGAGGGACCAACTCGAACTGGTAAGAAGATTAATGGTGACAGGAGCTAATATGGCCGACCTATTTATACTAGGCTGGCTCCTGATCATATCCTCCATCCCCACCCACCATTCTCCCCCTAAGCCCACCTCCAAGCCCTGTCAAGGCCCTATTCCACTTATGCTGCTCAAGTTTCATGGGGCGACAGTATGGTGTTAGGAGACACTGCAAGCTGTAGTGGCTATGGTGTGAGAACAGACTACAGCATGACATTTAAGGCACTGTCACAGGCAGGGAAAGGATCACATCTGAACTACAAATACATACTCTAATCTAGCAGACCTAAAACCAATCCCTAGATGACTGCTAGCTAGGGTATAGTGCTCTTAGACCGTGATCCTCTGGGAGGCAACAAACACATACCGAATTGACCAAACAGTTATTTAACCCCGTAAGGACACATGACACGTGTGACATGTCATGATTCCCTTTTATTCCAGAAGTTTGGTCCTTAAGGGGTTAAACAAATTGGATAAAAATTGCAGCAAATATATACATGATAGGTTATTTGCAGGTGCCAAGGTTTATATCCGTCTTGATTTGTTTCTTGTAAAAAGTTGTCATATACTGTTACTTCAACAGCATGATGATATGTGTGCCAAAAAATATGGTGGATCTTTTAACACTAGATACAAGATGGTTATATCTGGATGTTATGTGGCAAAGGGATTTAAACAGTTACTTTATAAAGACGCTTCTTGACTTATAATAAGATTATAATGACATGTCCACAAGAGCTGATACGACACGAGAAATTGCAAATACAGTACATGGCATGTCAAGAATGTTGCACTTTTTATGAAACTAAAAAACAAGATAAACACTACTCCTGCAGATATTATTCGGCAAAAATAATATCTTTTTAAAGTGAAATGACATCCCATTATATTTAAAAGAATACTCATACAGCCCACATTAGTCTTTTCCCAGATTTTATTGCGTGGGAGGTATACACTTAATATGATTTCTGCTCTTGCAACTGAAGAGAATATTAGGTAGTTTTTTTTACATGTTAGGGCACTTTAAGACTATCTGGGTGATTAACAGTACCCCATGTGACTCATTAGACATCTCTCGGTGTTGTCCTAATGGACTCCTCTGTCTTCTGTGAAGGTAATTAACAAAGAAACAATGCAGAAAGAGGATTTTTCACCCATGTTGATTGGTTGCACAGGTGAGCACCTCCATTAACCTTCCCACTCGAATGTGATAAAATACAGATTCATTGAGCAACCTGTGAAATGAGAAACAGTTTAATTAGTGAGATAGATACGCATTTGCAGGGAGACTTATTTACATAGTGTGCGCACTCGATTCAACAAGAGCACAGTCGCATATCTTAAAAGCAGCAAATGATGGGATTCTGAAATGTTTTTAATTACCAATTAATCAAATATTAGGGTAGATTTCTCAATTTCACCACTACATAAAAAAAAAAAATTATAAAATAAATGTTGGAGGGGAAAAAAGTGATTAATGTAAGAAAACAAAATTCCAAAAACTACTAGATTAATGATTCATCTCTAATAAATATAATTACATGTGGAGTGGCAAACTGTAATATAGGATTACATGCAAGTTATAATATTTGCATACACAATGAACTATGAAGATATGTACAGCCCTTTTCGCACATTGTCCCACAATTTTATTTGGTTTCTTGAGGCCGTGTGTCATTGCATCATTCGATCATGTAAAAAGAGCTAAAGTAAAGGTCTGGTTCACGGTGCCCCATTTGCAGTTTGATTCTGTTGCTGCTATCTCTCAACATGAGGATCTTAGATGTGTCAGGGCCAACAAATTATGAGAGCTCACAATAAGCGTTTTGGGAGATCGGCCGTCTCCCACATTCACCAGGCCACTAGTAATACTAGGCCGCGTGTTCGGACAGCGGATTTCCACAATGCAGGTCAAGATAAAGGACACCCTGAAGTGCCCACTCACTTTAGTATGGTTTCACCATGTGCTCCAGGCTGAGTTTCAGTCGATTTTAGTGAAGGTGCAGGTTTAACTCAGATGTGCAGGAGCTGGTAACAAACACGACTGGCCATCTTGGCAGTCAGTCCCTTTCCCCCTTTTATAGACTTTTAAAGTTTGATAAGTAAAAAATAGCAAATGAACTAACAGAGCAAGAAATAAATGTTTAATGGATCACCTAATAATGTTTAGAATACAAAAGGAAAAATAAACTTTTTCAACTGAGAAATAGTTTGTTTTCTGCAGAATGCATGCAATACAATTTTCAGAACATCAAGCCATGTATAAAGTACGGTAATAGTAATAATGTGTCTTGTCCAGAGTTATTATGATCTCTTAATAAAATGTATAGTTTCAACAGAATCCACAGAACTGCATACACTTAGTAAGAAGTATTAAAAAAAAGCTCAGTAATATGCATTGTTCCCAGTCTGATGAAAGTCAAAGTAAAAATAAGAGAAAATGATCTCATTGATAAGCTCACAGCTATGATACATAACACTATGCAGGCAGTCGGTTTGGGCCCCATAGGAGAAGATGAAGGGTAAGACAGTGGTTTCAAAACCGGTCCTAAAGGCATTTCTAGGACCGGTTTGGAAATTACCCAATTGTGCCAAGGTGTTTTTTTTTAGTTTGTTTTGTTTTTAAAACACCTTAGATATAACTGGGTTATCCCTTAATCCCGGACTGGTAGGCGTGCCGTAAGGACTGGTTTGGAAACCACTAGGTTAAGAAGAGAGTGAAATTGAAATTAAGCAGTCACTGGTCTCGCCGTGGGATTTCTTCCTTTTCTTTTCAATGTAATTTTTAATTACTACCTTTAAAGAGGGTATTTTATGGGGTATACATGGTTTGCCGTCTTGATAAGAAGTCTCCCTCCCCGTATTGGGGACACTTTCCTGGACACACAACCACATCGGCACTTAGGAGCAGTCCTAAACAGATTTTATAATCTTCATTGAGGATGATGGAGTTTCACTCATGTCATGTCAATATATATGTGTGTACCATTGTTACATTTTTTATAATGTGCATGTATATGCCCTTTCAAGACTATGCATGATGTATGTCTAGTTTTTTTTTCTTGAATTAAGCTTTAATTTGTTCTGTTTAATTGGAAAATGGGTACAGTAACATGGCGAACTGTCTGATATGGTTTGCTAGATGAAGAATTGAAATTTTCTTATATTGATTTATACTTTATAGTAGTGATTATAGTAGATTTTAAGAGCACTAACTGCAGACATATGATCTAAACAATTAAGTAGAATCTTACAAAAGGAATTGGTTCATACAAGGTTCTACTGTTCTGCAGAGATTCTGTTTATCACAAACAGTCACTGGTGTATTTAAGATATGTTGTTTCAGTTTATCAGAATTAATCTGGCTATCAAAGTATTGTCAAGTAAAATGGCTGGTCCAGAAACATTACTGCCACTCAACTGACATGGGCACCTTGTGGGCATCACAACATTTTTCACCACAGCATTGTGATTCTCCAAATTCCATCATACTAAATGGACCAAGTTGAATGAAACTGCTGCCAGGTAATATTAACCTGATAATGCTACAACAAATGCAAAGATACAATGATTGCTCAACTATGAACTAGTTTTTAGCAGAAAAAGAAGTGCATTCTTGCCACAACATGTTTTTATTATCAGCCAAGAGCCCGTGCGATGGTGAACACAGTACAGTCAAAGTTTCCTAATGATCTGTTTGCGTGAGATTCAACACTGTTTCAAAACGCTGAAACTTTAACCCTTCTTTTAATCCAAATTGAATGAACAAAAATTCTCCTTTAACATCTTGACCAGAATTTAAAGGGTTATTTTCTGAAACTGCGCTAGGGTGCACAGTGCACCATACCCTATAATCAGGCATGAAATTAAATAATGTGAGTTATTTCTGTGGTTATATGGGTTGGCAAGTACTAATTATTATAGTAACAAGGAGGGGGTCTACAGTGCCAACATAAGTGAAACTTCTCTTAATTTCTTATTTACATATTGGAGTGCGCTCACAAATCTGTCTCTGTATAGGCTTTGTTGCCATGACGACTGTTCCCATTATGAAAGGAAAATAAAATGTAGGGCAGCTGTTACAAGCAGATACTCGGGCCTTGTTACAATAAGTATTCAGCCACTTGTGTTGAGCAGGTGTGCAGCAGAGTTTCAAAGGGAGATGCACAATGACTGTGTGAGACTCTGCACATTAAGAGCACTGCGCACCAGGCATAAAAGGACAAAATATTAATATATAACAAAGTTGCAAGAGCAAAACACAGACATGTGCGTGATTGTCGGGATTTAAATCCAGAGCTACGGCATAGATGTCACTGTTTATTATGTAGGATTAACATTCGCTATCTTGAAGAGTAAGGATTATTAATAGGAACAAAAAAAAAGAAAAGATATCAATCATCGAAATAAATAAAAAAGTTTGTTTAAAAAAATATAAATATTTATATAAAATGCATGAAGACACTTTGGAGGGTTTTTTTGTGATTGTACTGCATTGATTGTTATTTTAATATTGAATATTTTGGTCCCTGAGGAAGTCCCATATTCTGTAGAAGGGACGAAACGCGTAGGACCTTTATCTGTATCTATTTTATATTTTTAAACAATTAAAGCCGCTTTTTTCATATCTTCACCTGGAGTCCTGCATTTTGAGTGGAAGTGTCCAGGGGATTTCTCTAGCCCCCCTTATCATCAGGGGTGGCACCATATATGCCTGAACTGTCCAATATCCTGTGAGTGCATTTCATATTGCGCAGTATTAATATTTTAAAACTGTATTACACTATACCTCTTTTTATTTATCTTCATTTAGACAATCAGCCGGTTCCCTCGTTGTGTTTTGTATACTTTGGAGGGTTTGCATGGGGGCTTAATCTATGCAACACAACAGAACTGATATACATAGAATTCTCATTTATAGTAAATAAGAGGACTGCTAAATTATATTTATTGAACAACTTCTCTCCACAGACACAGGTTTTATTCAATTCATTCTTCATTAATGAAGTATCCAATGATAAAACAAATATAAAGTAAAGATGCACCTCAGTGATTGAAGTATATGGGTTCGCATAGGTACATCTCAATGTACAGAGTCATATGGTCCCAAAACTGATACATTGGCATCATCATTCCAATAATGATATCAAGTGGAACTCCATTTCAATAGTTTGTGTACTGTGGACATTAGACGTTTGCACAAATGCGTTTCAGCAGGTATGAACGAAACAAATGCCTTTTCATTTACGCCTGAACAAATTGGTCTGTCGGGATTTCCTCATTGAACAAGACTCCACAGATAAATACAGATGGATTGATCAGTTCTGGTGCAGATAGAAAGTCTTTGATTCGTTTCTATCACCAGACAATCCTTGGTCTAGTGGACATTAAAGCATAAGTGGTAAAGAATCTTGTTCCACAGAGGGCATAATTTAGGGCACATCCACCATGTGTTAAAATATGTACTAGGAGGCCTTTTCTACAGCTCGCTGTGTGATAAACTGTATAATTTCCAGTGATTTACGTGCACATGCATTTTCTTTCTTTGTTTAGAATTACACTTTAAAAACAGATTAAATGAGAAATATTTATTAAAACACACACACATTCGCCTACCTCACATTGTGTTTAACCTACATAGTGCAAGGCAAGCTGCCAGCAAATATACTGATAAACTATTATTTCTTTGCTTTGGTTTTTGCCTTCACAGTATGCTCTCAGCATCTTTTAATTCCAACAACAAGTTGCAATAACATTGGAATGACATATCTAACAACCGCACATTAGTTTTGAGTCAACTGAGATCTTTCTTTCACTCTAAGTATAGGGTTGGTGAATGAGTCCATGGTTGGCTAAGCATCTCTATGATGTCCTGGTACCCAGTGGCACATTTAGGTTTTGTGCTGCCCTAGTGGTACCCATCAGACTCCTAAACCATAAACGCTAGGATAGGTCACCTTAGGTCAATCCAGCTATAACCGTTCAACATGTCTCAGACTCAAGGATATCTGATTCAGGGCTTTTTACCATGACAACTGGGTTATATGGTAATGTTTGAGACTGATCTCTGTGCCCTTAACCAATATTAACAATTCCTTAAAGAAACATTTCAATGTTAAAAAAACAAACAAAAAAAACAGTTTAGTACATATACCCCCAATAAAAACAGGTATGCATTTAATTGTGACTTTAGGGGGTGGGGGGGAGTGTATAGAAAAACAGATTGCATAAGATATAGATCTCTTGCGTGCAATCCCGATAGGCAAATACCCCAATATCATAACCAGGCAGCATTTTCAAACTTGTATCACTTGATGCCAGCCAACCTTAGTTTGGGAGAATGGGACTTATTATCTCATCATGAAACATGTCAAAGCAGGGCATGAACAGGAGAGAAAAAGCTGTGAAAAAGTATTCACATTCCTCTGTGTTTCCTGGATTATTCTGAAACTTGAAATGAGTGTATAAAGAATGCAGTGGCTGCATTATAATTGTCATTATTATTATTATTATTACTACGGAGATGATAGCCTGACTTTGCTCTATTTATTAATTATTGTTATTATGATGATGGAGATAGCATGACTATGCACTAATTATTAATTATTGTTATTATTATGATGGAGATAGCCTGACCTTGCTCTATTTATTAATTATTGTTATTATTATGATGGAGATAGCCTGACTATGCCCTAATTATTAATTATTGTTATAATTATGATGGAGATGGTCTGACCTTGCTATAATTATTAATTATTGTTATAATTATGATGGAGATTGTGTGACCTTGCTCTAATTATTAATAATTATTATTATTAATATTATTATGATGGAGATGGTCTGACCTTGCTCTCTATATTAATTAATTATTATTATTATGATGGAGATGGTCTGACATTGCTCTATATATTATTATTTGTAGTATTATTATTATTATTATTATGATGATGATGATGGAGATGGTCTGACATTGCTCTAATTATTAATTATTAATTATTATTGTTATTATTATTGTTATTATGATGGAGATGGTCTGACCTTGCACTAATTATTAATTATTATTATTATGATGGAGATGGTCTGACAATGCTCTATATATTAATTAATCTTATTATTATTATGATGGAGATGGTCTGACATTGCTCTATATATTAATTAATCTTATTATTATGATGGAGATGGTCTGACATTGCTCTATATATTAATTATTATTGTTATTATTGTGATGGAGATGGTCTGACCTTGCTCTATATTATTATTATTATTATGATGGAGATGGTCTGACATTGCTCTATATATTAATTATTATTATTATTATTATTATGATGGAGATGGTCTGACATTGCTCTATATATTAATTATTATTATTATTATTATTATGATGATGGAGATGGTCTGACCTTGCTCTATATATTAATTATTATTATTATTATTGTGATGGAGATGGTCTGACCTTGCTCTATATATTAATTATTATTATTATTATTATTGTTATGATGGAGATGGTCTGACCTTGCTCTATATATTAATTATTATTATTATTATTATTATTATTATGATGGAGATGGTCTGACCTTGCACTAGGACTCACAGAGCAGCTGCTCCTGCATCCCACGAGCTGTCACCATTTGCTGCGTCCTGATTGGCCGTCCTGCTCAGGTCACGTGACACCCGGTGCTGACTAGCCATGTGCTTCTGTTTACACAGAAGATCCGGCCCCTTTTAAATTGACAGCTGTTCCCGCGGCTGCTCAGTCCTGATGGCTCCGCCCATTAGGGGGCGGGGTTATGTGAGGGAGGTGTAGGAGGGTGCTAACAGTTCCCGAATAAACCAGCAGGGGGCCCCGAAACGAGGTGAAACACATTCTTGCAGAGTAATAGACAGTGTTTCATATTACTTCACTCCTAGCTCGCTGCTGTTCTATGTCATTAAAAACGCATACTCACAACACGGTCACCATCTGACCCAGTGAATGTATTGCTAAATAAAACCACTATACTGATAGAACCCAGTGAACATAGAGAGAACCCACTGGAACTCTGCTACAGAGATAGAGCCCTGTGAAACTGAGCTACAGACAGATAGAACCCTATGGAAATCTGTGCATGAGACAGAGAGAACCCACTGGAACTCTGCTACAGAGATAGAGCTCTGTGAAACTGAGCTACAGACAGATAGAACCCTATGGAAATCTGTGCATGAGATAGAGAGAACCCACTGGAACTCTGCTACAGAGATAGAGCCCTGTGAAACTGAGCTACAGACAGATAGAATCCTATGAAATCTGTGCATGAGATAGATAGAACCCACTGGAACTCTGTGCAACATAAAAAGAACCAAGTGGAACTTTGTGCAGGAGACAGAACCCGGTGAAACTCTGTGCAAGACACAGAACGTACATATAACCAACTGGAACTCTGCTACAGAGATAGAGCCCTGTGAAACTGAGCTACAGACAGATAGAACCCACTGGAACTCTGTGCAGGAGACAGAAACCCGTGAGACCCTGTACAACATACAGAGAACCAAGTGGAATAGAAGAAATAGAACCCCTTGTTACATAGAACCCCTTGTTACAGAACCCCTTGTTACATAGAATACAGTGCGAATATGTGCTAAAGGTAAATATAGAACTCCAGGGATCTGTGCTACAGAGCTAGCACTCCATGAAACAGCAGCCTATTCGCCCACTGGAAAATAATTAATACCAGTCTTTGTCAATATAGTTTACCACATGTTTTAGAACTACATCTCCGAGAACAGTTTGTTATTTTTAAAGGATAGCATAGCAACATGGGAGTTGCAGTTCTACAAAGTTAGCAACCAATGCCAATCTGCTATTTGACTTTTACTCTATTAAACAGCTGGAATGCCATGGGTTTAATCTTCCTGCCAGGCACTGTCCTAGTTTATCCATGGTAATTGGCCGATAAAGGGAATTTAGGAAAACGTTGATGTCCCTCAGTGTCACAGGATGGCGCCATCTTATAACATTCTCATAGACCCCATGGCTACAGTAAGAGACCACCGTTCCTATATTACATCAGACTGAGAGATCTCACTGCTTCAGGCAGAGTGTTTCTAAATCTTCTGTTTAACATCATAGTTCTCGGTGTAACAGACACGGGCGGGAGGATATGATGAATTAGGAGGAATATTTATGAACCTCTTCTCTGAATGGCCAACACAGTTTTAAAGGTAATATCTCTAGTTTAGGCTGAGATTGGGATGCCCTGTAACAAAATGTACTCCAACCATTAAAGCAAATTCATATGAGATACATATGAAAAATTACTTGATCTAGATTTTAACCTTGAATGTTTACTTTATTTTGTTATTAATGTATCATATCTGTTTATTTCTACTAATATTAACTTTGATCTAGCAGCTAGAGACAATTAAGTTAAATGTGAATAAAAATAAACCTATTTATTCACTACTTACTGTAACACATTTACCTGTGATACATTTAAATGCTATTTACTAAGGTAATGTGACATAGAGTGAGCCTCGCTGTCATTTAATGAGGTAATGTGACATAGAGTGAGCCTCGCTGTCATTTAATGAGGTAATGTGACGTGGAGTGAGCCTCGCTGTCATTTAATGAGGTAATGTGACGTGGAGTGAGCCTCGCTGTTATTTAATGAGGTAATGTGACGTGGAGTGAGCCTCGCTGACATTTAATGAGGTAATGTGACATGGAGTGAGCCTCGCTGACATTTAATGAGGTAATGTGACATGGAGTGAGCCTCGCTGTCATTTAATGAGGTAATGTGACGTGGAGTGAGCCTCGCTGTTATTTAATGAGGTAATGTGACGTGGAGTGAGCCTCGCTGTCATTTAATGAGGTAATGTGACGTGGAGTGAGCCTCGCTGACATTTAATGAGGTAATGTGACGTGGAGTGAGCCTCGCTGACATTTAATGAGGTAATGTGACGTGGAGTGAGCCTCGCTGTCATTTAATGAGGTAATGTGACGTGTCATTTAATGAGGTAATGTGACGCCCTCGCTGAGGTAATGTGACATGGAGTGAGCCTCGCTGTCATTTAATGAGGTAATGTGACGTGGAGTGAGCCTCGCTGACATTTAATGAGGTAATGTGACGTGGAGTGAGCCTCGCTGTCATTTAATGAGGTAATGTGACGTGGAGTGAGCCTCGCTGACATTTAATGAGGTAATGTGACATGGAGTGAGTTCGCTGTCATTTAATGAGGTAATGTGACATGGAGTGAGCCTCGCTGTCATTTAATGAGGTAATGTGACGTGGAGTGAGTCTCGCTGTCATTTAATGAGGTAATGTGACGTGGAGTGAGCCTCGCTGTCATTTAATGAGGTAATGTGACGTGGAGTGAGCCTCGCTGTCATTTAATGAGGTAATGTGACGTGGAGTGAGCCTCGCTGTCATTTAATGAGGTAATGTGACGTGGAGTGAGCCTCGCTGTCATTTAATGAGGTAATGTGACGTGGAGTGAGCCTCGCTGTCATTTAATGAGGTAATGTGACGTGGAGTGAGCCTCGCTGTCATTTAATGAGGTAATGTGACGTGGAGTGAGCCTCGCTGACATTTAATGAGGTAATGTGACGTGGAGTGAGCCTCGCTGTCATTTAATGAGGTAATGTGACGTGGAGTGAGCCTCGCTGTCATTTAATGAGGTAATGTGACATGGAGTGAGTCCTCGCTGTCATTTAATGAGGTAATGTGACGTGGAGTGAGTCCTCGCTGTCATTTAATGAGGTAATGTGACGTGGAGTGAGCCTCGCTGACATTTAATGAGGTACGTGACGTAAGTGAGCCTCGGCCAAGGTCATTTAATGAGGTAATGTGACGTGGAGTGAGTTGCTGTCATTTAATGAGGTAATGTGACGTGGAGTGAGTCTCGCTGTCATTTAATGAGGTAATGTGACGTGGAGTGAGCCTCGCTGTCATTTAATGAGGTAATGTGACACGGAGTGAGCCTCGCTGTCATTTAATGAGGTAATGTGACGTGGAGTGAGTCTCGCTGTCATTTAATGAGATAATGTGACGTGGAGTGAGCCTCGCTGTCATTTAATGAGGTAATGTGACGTGGAGTGAGCCTCGCTGTCATTTAATGAGGTAATGTGACGTGGAGTGAGCCTCGCTGTCATTTATTGAGGTAATGTGACATGGAGTGAGCCTCGCTGTCATTTAATGAAGTAATGTGACGTGGAGTGAGTCTCGCTGTCATTTAATGAGGTAATGTGACATGGAGTGAGCCTCGCTGTCATTTAATGAGGTAATGTGACGTGGAGTGAGCCTCGCTGTCATTTAATGAGGTAATGTGACGTGGAGTGAGTCTCGCTATCATTTAATGAGGTAATGTGACGTGGAGTGAGCCTCGCTGTCATTTAATGAGGTAATGTGACGTGGAGTGAGCCTCGCTGTCATTTAATGAGGTAATGTGACGTGGAGTGAGCCTCGCTATCATTTAATGAGGTAATGTGACGTGGAGTGAGCCTCGCTATCATTTAATGAGGTAATGTGACGTGGAGTGAGCCTCGCTGTCATTTAATGAGGTAATGTGACGTGGAGTGAGCCTCGCTGTCATTTAATGAGGTAATGTGACGTGGAGTGAGCCTCGCTGTCATTTAATGAGGTAATGTGACGTGGAGTGAGCCTCGCTGTCATTTAATGAGGTAATGTGACGTGGAGTGAGCCTCGCTGTCATTTAATGAGGTAATGTGACGTGGAGTGAGCCTCGCTGTCATTTAATGAGGTAATGTGACGTGGAGTGAGCCTCGCTGTCATTTAATGAGGTAATGTGACGTGGAGTGAGCCTCGCTGTCATTTAATGAGGTAATGTGACATGGAGTGAGCCTCGCTATCATTTAATGAGGTAATGTGACGTGGAGTGAGCCTCGCTGTCATTTAATGAGGTAATGTGACATGGAGTGAGCCTCGCTGTCATTTAATGAGGTAATGTGACGTGGAGTGAGCCTCGCTGTCATTTAATGAGGTAATGTGACGTGGAGTGAGCCTCGCTGTCATTTAATGAGGTAATGTGACGTGGAGTGAGCCTCGCTGTCATTTAATGAGGTAATGTGACGTGGAGTGAGCCTCGCTGTCATTTAATGAGGTAATGTGACGTGGAGTGAGTCTCGCTGTCATTTAATGAGGTAATGTGACGTGGAGTGAGCCTCGCTGTCATTTAATGAGGTAATGTGACGTGGAGTGAGTCTCGCTGTCATTTAATGAGGTAATGTGACGTGGAGTGAGCCTCGCTGTCATTTAATGAGGTAATGTGACGTGGAGTGAGCCTCGCTGTCATTTAATGAGGTAATGTGACATGGAGTGAGCCTCGCTGACATTTAATGAGGTAATGTGACATGGAGTGAGCCTCGCTGTCATTTAATGAGGTAATGTGACATGGAGTGAGCCTCGCTGTCATTTAATGAGGTAATGTGACGTGGAGTGAGCCTCGCTGTCATTTAATGAGGTAATGTGACACGGAGTGAGCCTCGCTGTCATTTAATGAGGTAACGTGCCGTGCAAAATATGCAAAGATCATCAAAAGTGACAAAACTGCTTTAAATTCTGGTTTCTATAGGTGAGTTGAGGATTTAATTAATATTTTTGCACCTATCAATTATGAGGCATTTCACTTCACCGTCTCATGCAAATTAGTTTTT